CTTTTTAACATAACTTCAATTTTATCTTTAAGAGTTCAGTTTTCATTTGTTTATTTACCCTTGCACATTCTTTATGATGACTGACGAGCAAAAATAATAAGGTCATTGAAAATTGTAAGACTTACTTTACTATGGAGGATTACATGTGGATCTTATATTAACCACATAATTTTTTTTATCTAAGGGAAATGCAAATTTAATTATCTCTATACCACTTCTTTGAACGAAGTTCATGTTGAATTTTTTGGTACCTAGAATAAATATTATTCTTTGTAAAATTATTTTGCCCCAAACCAAGCAAAAGTTAAGATAGCATCCAAGTTAATCTACAAGGAAGATATCTTGGGTAAAAAAAACCTACATAGAAAACAACTATGAAACTATCTCTAGTTATGTATATAAAGTAGGCTTACTCATATAATCTCGGTACATAAGGGATACAATTCTCATCGAATAATCTACAAAAATTTAGACCTTTCAAGTGACTTCCCTTGTGAAACACTTCAATAATCAAGGTCATATGGATTATCGCCAACAAATAGATTACCGATGTCTAAATTTCATAACTCAACCAAAGCCATTAAAAAAACCACTTCCACCTTTTTCTGAACTTCATAATTTAGTTTTTTAAACTTTTTAAATCTTATGCCAATAACAATAAACAAATGTAGACGATGATGCTCAACGATAGAATTCAAAGCCTCTCTGCTCTCAGAGCTGCACTAAGGAACGCCGAGAAACATATCTTGAATCTTCCAGTGGATACTCCATATTCGGAGTTTCACCACAGGCAAGTCACATATCTGCTTATCTCATAAATAACTCAAATTTAAATAAAAATGAGTATTAATTCTTATCAATTTATATGTTTTAGGTTCCAAGAGCTTGGTTTAGAGAAAGGTTGGGGTGATACGGCGGAGAGAGTCTATGAGACCATTCACCTACTACTTGATCTCCTTGAGGCACCAGATCCAACCACCCTCGAGAACTTTCTTGGTAGGATTCCGATGGTGTTCAATGTCGTCATCCTCTCTCCACATGGATACTTTGCTCAAGCCAATGTTTTGGGTTATCCCGACACTGGAGGCCAAGTAAGATTATTGAAACTATTATACCAATCTGGTCTGTAGTTTGATACAAGATTCTCTTCATTTAGCTAATGAAAATTTTTCCTCTTAGATTGTTTACATCCTGGACCAAGTTCGTGCGCTGGAGGATGAGATGCTCCTTAGGATCAAGCAACAAGGTCTCGATATCAAACCTCGTATACTAATTGTAAGTCCAAAAGTTATATGGTTATACTTGAAACAT